AAAAGTCAAAATTTAATGTCAAGAGTGGGCATGCCGGAGTGTTTATCGGGCATGACTAGAAATCGCGTGGGCTTTGCCCGCGCAGATTCGAATCATGCTGCTCACGTTTCTTTGCTAGCACCCAATAGGTTGTATTTAAGAGAATAATTTAATTTCAAATTTCAATTGATTTGTTTGATTTAGTTCTTCTACCCCAATTTTGTAAACTAATTAATATAGTTTTGGAAAAAAGTCAAAATTTAATGCCAATAGTGGGCGTGCCGGAGTGGTTATCGGGCATGACTTGAAATCATGTGGGCTTTGCCCGCGTAGGTTCGAATCTTGCCGCTCATGATTCTTTGCTGTCACCAAAAAGGTTGTATTTAAGAGAAGAATTTATTATCAAATTTCAAGTGATTTGTTTGATTTAGTTCTTCTACCCCAATTTTGTCATCTAATAAATAGTATTTGGGAATAAAGTCAGAATTTAATGTTAAGAGTGGGCGTGCCGGAGTGGTTATCGGGCATGACTAGAAATCATGTGGGTTTTGCCCGCGCAGGTCCCCGCTCACGATTCTTTGCTGTCACCAAAAAGGTTGTATTTAAGAGAAGAATTTAATATCAAATTTCAAGTGATTTGTTTGATTTAGTTCTTCTACCCCAATTTTGTCATCTAATAAATAGTATTTGGGAATAAAGTCAAAATTTAATGTTAAGAGTGGGCGTGCCGGAGTGGTTATCGGGCATGACTAGAAATCATGTGGGCTTTGCCCGCGCAGGTCCGAATCCTGCCGCTCACGTTACTTTGATGTCACCAAATAGGTTGTATTAAATATAATATATTTAATATAATATATATTAAATATAATATAATATATCTATAATATATATTAAATATAATATATCTATATATTATATTTATATATTGAGAAGAGAGAGAGAGGAATAGATGTAAATGTTTATTACTTCACTTGATGATTATGAATAAACAAAAGCCACATATTTATAGTGAAAGAGAAAAGCAACAATGCTAAAGTTTAGGAAGTAATTAGAGGCCATGATTCCATGTACTCCATTTCAGGTAGTGCTATGCATGCATCCACGTTCACACACCTCCTTTTATTTTTTAACAAATTAACTGCTAACTACTTGGTTTAATATATTACTAATAATAATAATAGCATTATTATTATTATAACATTGCCTCCTTTAAACCAAGTTGGATATATTGGTCATCCCAATTTCCTTCTTCAATTTAAGAAATGTCTTCGTCTTCAAGTTGGATATACTGACTTGTATTTCGTTCTGTAAACCCACTTTACTCCAATTGGCTTCTTCCCAAGAGGTACATCTGTTAACTCCCAGGTACCATTCTTCTCAATTGCACGTATCTCCTCATCCATCGCCTTAAGCCAATGAGTTTCTGTAGCAGCCTCCTCAAAAGATAAAGGATCACAATCTGCAAAAAGAGCAAATTGAATTATCTCTTCATCCGACAAGTCATTATCACGACCCAAAACATATTCTTGCAAGCGAGCTGGTAAGTGGCGCTCGCGCTGAGATCGTCGAACTGACGACTTTGGCTGTGAAGGAGACTGGACATTATCTGGAATCGGTTGCTCTTCAACAATATTTTCAACAGCAGGAATAACAACTGAACTTTCATCTTTAGCTAACCAATCCCAAGCACCATATTCATCAAAAGTGACATCACGACTTATAACAACCTTTTTAGTTTCAGGATTGTATAGTTTATAAGCCTTTGAAGCGTCACTATAACCAATGAATATGCATTTCTCACCTTTATCATCCAACTTCTTTCTCAATGGATCTGGCACATGTGCATATGCCAAACATCCAAAAACCTTGAGATATTTGATAGAGGGTTTTCTCCCACTCCAAGCTTCTTCGGGCGTCTTATCATGGACACTCTTAGTTGGACACCTATTCAACACATAGACAGCACAAGCAACAGCTTCTGCCCAAAAAGGTTTAGGCAGATCCTTGGATTTCAACATGCACCTTACCATATCCATGATAAACCTATTCTTCCTCTCAGCCACTCCGTTTTGTTGTGGAGTGTATCTAGCTGTCATCTGATGTTTAATACCCTTCTTTTTCAGAAAATCATCACAGGCAATATATTCTGTACCTCTATCAGTTCTCAAGATTTTGATCTCATAACCACTCTGCTTTTCAACAAAAGCCTTAAATTGTTTGAAAACATCACATGCTTCAGACTTTTGCTTCAGAAAGTAAACCCATGTTTTTCTACTGAAATCATCAATGAAAGTAATAAAGTACTTACAACCTCCATGTGAGGGAACCTCCAACGAACACAGGTATGAGTGAACAATCTCCAACTGTTTTGTAGCTCTCATTGACTTGCCCACGGGAAAGGGATCTCTATGCTTCTTCCCAATCACACAAATCTCACAGATACGATCAGGGACATTCACAACAGGTAAATCAGAAACAAGTTCCTTTCTCGCAAGATAGTTTAATCCAGAGAAATGAAAATGCCCAAACCGCATATGTCATAACCAATTATCATCACAAACTTCAGAATTAAAGCAATCAAGGAGAGTATGCTTAATTTTCAAAGAAATAGTCGATTTTGGGACATATTTACCTTTGCAATCAAAACTCCTTTAGCATCTTCAATGGTACAACACCCTTGAGCAATATGTATCTTATATCCTTTTTCTGACAACTGACCCAAACTCAACAAATTTTGGTGTAGTTCAGGAACATAGAACACATCGGATATAAAATTGTGAGTACCATCCTTCAACTGAATAGAGATTTTACCTTTTCCCAAAATTGGCACCTTTGACTTATTGCCAAACGTTATTTCAGACCAGACTGATTCATCTAGTTCGGAAAACAATTCTTTCTTCCCACACATATGGTTACTACACCCAGTATCCAAGAACCATATGTTCTTATCAGCAGAAAAACTATCACAGGCCAAAAGTAAGGTTTCAGAATTCTCACCAAACTTTTCAGCAGTATTTTCAGCAATGTTTGCTTGATTTCCACGATTGTTGTCCTCATTATACCAACAATCTGCAATCTTGTGCCCATACTTGCCACAATTGTAGCAATGAAATGGAAATTTACCTTGTTTGGTATTACCTCCACCTCTTCCTTGGTTGGAGTTACCACGTCCTCCTCCTTGGTTGAAGTTACCACGACCTCTTCCACCAGAACCTCCTCTTCCTCTTCCACGACCTCTACCAGATCCTCCACCTCTTTGATTAGTGCCAGTCACATTAAGGGTGACTTGGCTCTTCAAAGCTTCTTCTTCTAGTGGTTCCGATTTTGACGCAATCCTGTCAATATGACTTTTTACCATACCTTTCAGCTCTGCAATTGATAAGAGCTCGGTTTTGTGTGACTCTGTTATTGAAGCCACCACATGGTTATACTTCATCGGCATAGTTCGAAGAACTTTTTCAACCACTGCACCATCTTCAATTGTATCTCCGTATAACCTCATCTTATTCACCATATCAATAAGACGAGTGAAATACGCATCTACTGTTTCTGTAGAGGTCATCTCACAATTATCGTACAACCTTCTCAACGACTGCAACTTAGACTTATGTGCCCGATCGACTCCTTTATGTGACACCTTTAAGATGTCCCAAGCTTGTTTTGCTGTTTGAGCATGAGCTAATTGCCCAAAAATGGAATAATGAACACCTTGGTGAATCTGACCCAAGGCCAATTTATCTCGCCGTATAGCGGCTGCATCAGCTCCTTCGGGTAGACCGGGATCAACAAAGCTCCAAAGATTTTGAGCTTGCAAATGTGTGGACATCATAATTTGCCAATAATTGTAATCGAGTTTACCGTCCAATTTGGGACCCGACCATACAATATTGAAATTTGTTGCCATATTTCACTACGGAAAATATTTCGGGGTTGAAAGGTTGAATTGACTGGCTCTGATACCAAATGTTAGATATATTAAATATAATATATTTAATATAATATATATTAAATATAATATAATATATCTATAATATATATTAAATATAATATATCTATATATTATATTTATATATTGAGAAGAGAGAGAGAGAGGAATAGAAGTAAATGTTTATAACTTCACTTGATGATTATGAATAAACAAAAGCCACATATTTATAGTGAAAGAGAAAAGCAACAATGCTAAAGTTTAGGAAGTAAATAGAGGCCATGATTCCATGTACTCCATTTCAGGTAGTGCTATGCATGCATCCACGTTCACACACCTCCTTTTATTTTTTAACAAATTAACTGCTAACTACTTGGTTTAATATATTACTAATAATAATAATAGCATTATTATTATTATAACAGTTGGTATGCCAGAGTGTTTATCGGGCATGACTAGAAATCATGAGGGCTTTGCCCGCACAGGTTCGAATCATGCTGCTCACGTTTCATTGCTGTCACTCAATAGGTTGTATTTAAGAGAAGAATTTAGTGTCAAATTTCAATTGATTTGTTTTATTTAGTTCTTCTACCCCAATTTTGTCAACTAATTAATAGTATTTGGGAAAAAAGTCAAAATTTAATGTTAAGAGTGGGCGTGCCGGAGTGGTTATCGGGCATGACTAGAAATCATGTGGGCTTTGCCCGTGTAGGTTTGAATCCTACCGCTCACGTTTCTTTGCTGTCACCAAATAGGTAGTATTTAAGAGAAGAATTTAATATCCTATTTCAAGTTATTTGTTTGATTTAGTTCTTCTACCCCAATTTTTTCAACTAACAAGTAGTATTTAGGAAAAAAGTCAAAATTTAATGTCAAGAGTGGGCATGCCGGAGTGTTTATCGGGCATGACTAGAAATCGCGTGGGCTTTGCCCGCGCAGATTCGAATCATGCTGCTCACGTTTCTTTGCTAGCACCCAATAGGTTGTATTTAAGAGAATAATTTAATTTCAAATTTCAATTGATTTAGTTTTTCGACCCCAATTTTGTAAAATAATTAATATAATTTCAGAAAAAAGTAAAAATTTAATGCCAATAGTGGGCGTGCCGGAGTGGTTATCGGGTATGACTTGAAATCATGTGGGCTTTGCCCGCGCAGGTTCAAATCCTGCCGCTCACGATTCTTTGCTGTCACCAAAAAGGTTGTATTTAAGAGAAGAATTTAATATCAAATTTCAAGTGATTTGTTTGATTTAGTTCTTCTACCCCAATTTTGTCATCTAATAAATAGTATTTGGGAATAAAGTCAAAATTTAATGTTAAGAGTGGGCGTGCTGGAGTGGTTAACGGGCATGATTAGAAATCATGTGGGCTTTGCCCGCGCAGGTCCGAATCCTGCCGCTCACGTTACTTTGATGTCACCAAATAGGTTGTATTTAAGAGAAGAATTTAATATCAAATTTAAAGTGATTTGTTTGATTTAGTTCTTCTACCCCAATTTTGTAAACAAATAAATAGTATTTGGGAAAAAAGTCAAAATTTAATGTTAAGAGTGGGCATGCCGGAGTGGTTATCGGGCATGACTAGAAATCATGTGGGTTTTGCCCGCGCAGGTTCGAATCCTGCCGCTCATGTTTCTTTGCTGTCACCAAATAGGTTGTATTTAAGAGGATTTAGTTCTTCTACCCAATTTTGTCAACTAATAAATAGTATTTGGGAATAAAGTCAAAATTTAGCGATAAGAGTGGGCGTGGCGGAGTGGTTATCAAGCATGACTAGAAATCATGTGGGCTTTGCCCGCGCAGGGTCGAATCTTGCTGCTCACGTTTCTTTGCCGTCACCCAATAGGTAGTATTTCAAGTGATTTTTTTTATTTAATTTTTCTACCACAATTTTGCAAACTAATAATAAGTATTTGGGAAAAAAGTCAAAATTTAATGTCAAGAGTTGACATTCCGGAGTGTTTATCGGGAATGACTAGAAATCATGAGGGCTTTGCCCGCATAGGTTCGAATCATGCTGCTCACGTTTCATTGCTGTCACCCAATAGGTTGTATTTAAGAGAAGAATTTAGTGTCAAATTTTAATTGATTTGTTTTATTTAGTTCTTCTACCCCAATTTTGTCAACTAATAAATAATATTTGGGAAAAAAGTTAAAATTAAATGTAAAGAGTGGGCGTGCCGGAGTGGTTAACGGGCATGACTAGTAATCATGTGGGCTTTGCCCGTGTAGGTTTGAATCCTGCCGCTCACGTTTCTTTGCTGTCACCAAATAGGTAGTATTTTAGAGAAGAATTTAATATCAAATTTCAAGTGATTTGTTTGATTTAGTTCTTCTACCCAATTTTGTCAACTAATAAATAGAAATTGGGAATAAAGTCAAAATTTAATGTTAAGAGTGGGCGTGCCGGAGTGGTTATCGGGCATGACTAGAAATCATGTAGGCTTTGCCCGTGTAGGTTTCAATCCTGCTGCTCACGTTTCTTTGCTGTCACCCAATATGTAGCATTTAAGAGAACAATTTAATAAATCGAATTTCAAGTGATTTGTTTGATTTAGTTCTTCTACCCCAATTTTGTCAACTAACAATTAGTATTTGGTAAAAAAGTCAAAATTTAATGTCAAGAGTGGGCATGCCGGAGTGTTTATCGGGCATAACTAGAAATCATGTGGGCTTTGCCCGTGCAGATTCGAATCATGCTGCTCACGTTTCTTTGCTATCACCCAATAGGTTGTATTTAAGAGATGAATTTAATTTCAAATTTCAATTGATTTGTTTGATTTAGTTCTTCTACCCCAATTTTGTAAACTAATTAATATAATTGTGGAAAGAAGTCAAAATTTAATACCAAGAGTGGGCGTGCCGGAGTGGTTATCGGCCATGACTAGAAATCATTTGGGCTTTGCCCGCGCAGGTTCAAATCCAGCCGCTCACGTTTCTTTGTTGTCACCAAATAGCTTGTATTTAAGAGAAGAATTTAATGTCAAATTTCCATAGATTTGTTTTATTTAGTTCTTCTACCCCAATTTTGTCAACTAATAAATAGTATTTGGGAATAAAGTCAAAATTTAATGTTATGAGTGGGTGTGGCGGAGTGGTTATCGAGCATGACTAGAAATCATGTGGGCTTTACCTGTGTAGGTTCAAACCCCGCCGCTCACGTTTCTTTGCTGTCACCAAATAGGTAGTATTTAAGAGAAGAATTTAATATCAAATTTCAAGTGATTTGTTTGATTTAGTTCTTCTACCCCAATTTTGTCAACTAAGAAGTAGTATTTGGGAAAAAAGTCAAAATTTAATGTCAAGAGTGGGCATGTCGGAGTGTTTATCGGGCATGACTAGAAATCGTGTGGGTGCGCAGATTCGAATCATGCTGCTCACGTTTCTTTGCTATCACCCAATAGGTTGTATTTAAGAGAAGAATTTAATTTCAAATTTCAATTGATTTGTTTGATTTAGTTCTTCTACCCCAATTTTGTAAACTAATTAATATAATTTCGGAAAAAACTCAAAATTTAATGCCAATAGTGGGCGTGCCGGAGTGGTTATCGGGCATGACTAGAAATCACGTGGGCTTTGCCCGCGCAGATTCAAATCCTGCCGCTCACGATTCTTAGCTGTAACCAAATATGTTGTATTTAAGAGAAAAATTTAATATCAAATTTCAAGTGATTTGTTTGATTTAGTTCTTCTACCCAAATTTTGTCAACAAATAAATAGTATTTGGGAATAAAGTCAAAATTTAATGTTAAGAGGGGGCGTGCCGGAGTGGTTATCGGGTATGACCAGAAATCATGTGGGCTTTGCCCGTGCAGGTTCAAATCCTACCGGTTACGTTACTTTGATGTCACCAAATAGGTTGTATTTAAGAGAAGAATTTAATATCAAATTTCAAGTGATTTGTTTGATTTAGTTCTTCTACCCAAATTTTGTCAACAAATAAATAGTATTTGGGAATAAAGTCAAAATTTAATGTTAAGAGTGGGCGTGCCGGAGTGGTTAACGGGCATGACTAGAAATCATGTGGGCTTTGCCCGTTTAGGTTTGAATCCTGCCGCTCACGTTTCTTTGCTGTCACCAAATAGGTAGTATTTTAGAGAAGAATTTAATATCAAATTTCAAGTGATTTGTTTGATTTAGTACTTCTACCCCAATTTTGTAAACAAATAAATAGTATTTGGGAAAAAATTCAAAATTTAAAGTTAAGAGTGGGCGTGCCGGAGTGGTTATCGGGCATGACTAGAAATCATGTGGGTTTTGCCCGCTCACGTTTCTTTACTGTCACCAAATAGGTTGTATTTAAGAAAAGAATTTAATATCAAATTTCAAATGATTTGTTTCATTTAGTTCTTCTACCCCAATTTTGTCTACTAATAAATAGTATTTGGGAATAAAGTCAAAATTTAATGTTAAGAGTGGGCGTGCTGGAGTGGTATCGGGCATGATTAGAAATCATGTGGGCTTTGCCCGTGCAAGTTCGAATCCTGCCGCTCACGTTACTTTGATGTCACCAAATAGGTTGTATTTAAGAGAAGAATTTAATATCAAATTTCAAGTGATTTGTTTGATTTAGTTCTTCTACCCCAATTTTGTAAAAAAATAAATAGTATTTGGGAAAAAAGTCATAATTTAATGTTAAGAGTGGGCGTGCCGGAGTGGTTATCGGGCATGACTAGAAATCATGTGGGTTTTGCCCGCGTAGGTTCGAATCCTGTCGCTCACGTTTCTTTGCTGTCACCAAATAGGTTGTATTTAAGAGAAGAATTTAATATCAAATTTCAAGTGATTTGTTTAATTTAGTTCTTCTACCCCAATTTTGTCAACTAATAAATAGTATTTGGGAATAAAGTCAAAATTTAAAGTTAAGAGTGGGCGTGGCGGAGTGGTTATCAAGCATGACTAGAAATCATGTGGGGTTTGCCCGCGCAGGGTCAAATCTTGCTGCTCACATTTCTTTGCCGTCACCCAATAGGTAGTATTTAATATCAAATTTCAAGTGATTTTTTTTATTTAGTTCTTCTACCACAATTTTTTCATCTAATAATTAGTATTTGGGAAAAAAGTCAAAATTTAATGTCAAGAGTTGACATGCCGGAGTGTTTATTGGGCATGACTAGAAATCATGAGGGTTTTTCCCTCAGAGGTTCGAATCATGCTGCTCACGTTTCATTGCTGTCACCCAATAGGTTGTATTTAAGGGAAGAATTTAGTGTCAAATTTCAATTGATTTGTTTTATTTAGTTCTTCTACCCCAATTTTGTAAACTAATAAATAGTATTTGGGAAAAAAGTTAAAATTTAATGTTAAGAGTGGGCGTGCCAGAGTGGTTAATGGGCATGACTAGAAATCATGTGGGCTTTGCCCGTGTAGGTTTGAATCCTGCCACTCACGTTTCTTTGCTGTCACCAAATAGGTAGTATTTTAGAGAAGAATTTAATATCAAATTTCAAGTGATTTGTTTGATTTAGTTCTTCTACCCCAATTTTGTAAACAAATAAATAGTATTTGGGAAAAAAGTCAAAATTTAATGTTAAGAGTGGGCGTGCCGGAGTGGTTATCGGGCATCACTAGAAATCATGTGGCCTTTGCCCGCGCAGGTTTGAATCCTGCCGCTCACGTTTCTTTGCTGTCACCAATTAGGTTGTATTTAAGAGAAGAATTTAATATCAAATTTCAAGTGATTTGTTTGATTTAGTTCTTCTACCCCAATTTTGTCAACTAGTAAATAGTATTCGGGAATAAAGTCAAAATTTACACATAAGAGTGGGCATGGCGGAGTGGTTATCGAGCATGACTAGAAATCATGTGGTGTTTGCTCGCACCGGGTCGAATCTTGCTAGGTAGCATTTAAGAGAAGAATTTAGTATATCAAATTTCAAGTGATTTGTTTGATTTAGATCTTCTACCCCAATTTTATAAACTGATTAATATAATTTCGGAAAAAAGTCAAAATTTAATACCAAGAGTGGGCGTGCCGGATTGGTTATCGGGCATGACTAGAAATCATGTGGGCTTTGCCGACGCAGGTTCAAATCCTGATGCTCACGATTCTTGGTTGTTAGCAAATTAGTTGTATTTAAGAGAAGAATTTAATATCAAATTTCAAGTGATCTGTTTGATTTAGTTCTTCTACCCCAATTTTGTCAACTAATAAATAGTATTTGGGAATAAAGTCAAAATTTAATGTTAAGAGAGGGCGTGCCGGACTGGTTATCGGGCATGACTAGAAATCATGTGGGCTTTGCCCGTGCAGGTTTGAATCATGTCGCTCACGTTTCTTTGCTGTCACCAAATAGGTTGTATTTAAGAGAAGAATTTAATATCAAATTTCAAGTGATTTGTTTGATTTAGTTCTTCTACCCCAATTTTGTCAACTAATAAATAGTATTTGGGAATAAAGTCAAAATTTAATGTTAAGTGAGGGCGTGTCGGAGTGGTTATCGGGCATGACTAGAAATCATGTGGGCTTTGGCCGCGTAGGTTTGAATCCTGTCGCTCACGTTTCTTTGCTGTCACCAAATAGGTTGTATTTAAGAGAAGAATTTAATATCAAATTTCAAGTGATTTGTTTGATTTAGTTCTTCTACCCCAATTTTGTCAACTAATAAATAGTATTTGGGAATAAAGTCAAAATTTAATGTTAAGAGTGGGCGTGCAGGAGTGGTTATTAGGCATGACTAGAAATCATGTGGGTTTTACCCCCGGAAGTTCGAATCCTGCCGCTCATGTTTCTTTGCTGTCACCAAATAGGTTGTATTTAAGAGAAGAATTTAATATCAAATTTCATGTGATTTGTTTGATTTAGTTTTTCTACCCCAATTTTGTCAAGTTATAAATAGTATTTGGGAATAAAGTCAAAATTTAATGTTAAGAGTGGGCGTGGCGGAGTGGTTATCGAGTATGATTAGAAATCCTGTGGGCTTTGCCTGCGCAGGGTTGAATCCTGCTGCTCATGTTTCTTTGCAGTCACCCAATAGGTAGTATTTAAAATCAAATTTCAAGTGATTTTTATTATTTAGTTCTTCTACCACAATTTTGTCAACTAATAATTAGTATTTGTGAAAAAAGTCAAAATTTAATGTCAAGAGTTGACATGCCGGAGTGTTTATCGGGCATGACAAGAAATCATGAGGGCTTTGCCCGCACAGGTTCGAATCATGCTACTCACGTTTCATTACTGGCATCCAATAGGTTGTATTTAAGAGAAGAATTTAGTGTCAAATTTGAATTGATTTGTTTTATTTAGTTCTTCTACCCCAATTTTGTCAACTAATAAATAGTATTTGGGAAAAAAGTTAAAATTTAATGTTAAGAGTGGGCGTGCCAGAGTGGTTAACGGGCATGACTAGAAATCATGTGGGCTTTGCCCGGGTAGGTTTGAATCCTGCCGCTCACGTTTCTTTGCTATCACCAAATAGGTAGTATTTTAGAGAAGAATTTAATATCAAATTTCAAGTGATTTGTTTGATTTAGTTCTTCTACCCCAATTTTGTCAACTAATAAATAGTATTTGGGAAAAAAGTCAAAATTTAATGTTATGAGTGGGCGTGCCGGAGTGGTTATCGGGCATAACTAGAAATCATGTGGGCTTTGCCCGCGCAGCTTTGAATTCTGCCGCTCACGTTTCTTTGCTGTCACCAAATAGGTTGTATTTAAGAGAAGAATTTAATATCAAATTTCAAGTGATTTGTTTGATTTAGTTCTTCTACCCCAATTTTGTCAACTAATAAATAGTATTTGGGAATAAAGTCAAAATTTAAAGTTAAGAGTGGGCGTGGCGGAGTGGTTATCGAGCATGACTAGAAATCATGTGGGGTTTGCCCGCGCAAGGTCAAATCTTGCTGCTCACATTTCTTTGCCGTCACCAAATAGGTAGTATTTAATATCAAATTTCAAGTGATTTTTTTTATTTAGTTCTTCTACCACAATTTTTTCAACTAATAATTAGTATTTGGGAAAAAAGTCAAAATTTAATGTCAAGAGTTGACATGCCGGAGTGTTTATCGGGCATGACTAGAAATCATGAGGGCTTTGCCCTCACAGGTTCGAATCATGCTGCTCACGTTTCATTGCTGTCACCCAATAGGTTGTATTTAAGAGAAGAATTTAGTGTCAAATTTCAATTGATTTGTTTTATTTAGTTCTTCTACCCTAATTTTGTCAACTAATAAATAGTATTTGGGAAAAAAGTTAAAATTTAATGTTAAGAGTGGTTGTGCCGGAGTGGTTATCGGGCATGACTAGTAATCATGTGGGCTTTGCCCGTGTAGGTTTGAATCCTGCCGCTCACGTTTCGTTCCTCTCACCAAATAGGTTGTATTTTAGAGAAGAATTTAATATCAAATTTCAAGTGATTTGTTTGATTTAGTTCTTCTACCCCATATTTCTCAACCAATAAATAGAAATTAGGAATAAAGTAAAAATTTAATGTTAAGAGTGGGCGTGCCGGAGTGGTTATCAAGCATGACTAGAAATCATGTGGGCTTTGCCCGTGTAGGTTCGAATCCTACCGCTCATGTTTCTTTGTTGTCACCCAATAGGTAGCATTTAAGTAAAGAATTTAGTAAATCAAATTTCAAGTGATTTGTTTGATTTAGTTCTTCTACCCCAATTTTGTCAACTAACAAGTAGTATATGGGAAAAAAGTCAAAATAGAGAAGAATTTAGTATATCAAATTTCAAGTGATTTGTTTGATTTAGTTCTTCTACCCCAATTTTGTCAACTAACAAGTAGTATTTGGGAAAAAAGTCAAAATTTAATGTCAAGAGTGGGCATGCCGGAGTGTTTATCGGGCATAACTAGAAATCATGTGGGCTTTGCCCGCGCAGATTGGAATCATGCTGCTCACGTTTCTTTGCTATTACCCAATAGGTTGTATTAAAGAGATGAATTTAATTTCAAATTTCAATTGATTTGATTGATTTATTTCTCCTACCCCAATTTTGTAAACTAATTAATATAATTTCGGAAAAAAGTCAAAATTTAATGCCAAGAGTGGGCGTGCCGGAGTGGTTATCGGGCATGGCTAGAAATCATGTGGGCTTTGCCCGCGCAGGTTCAAATCCTGCCGCTCACGATTCTTTGCTGTCAACAAATTGGTTGTATTTAAGAGAAGAATTTGTTTGATTTAGTTCTTCTACCCCAATTTTGTCAACTAATAAATAGTATTTGGGAATAAAGTCAAAATTTAATGTTAAGAGTGGGTGTGTCGGAGTGGTTATCGGGCATGACTAGAAATCATGTGGGTTTTACCCGCGCAGGGAAGAATTTAATATCAAATTTCAAGTGATTTGTTTGATTTAGTTCTTCTACCCCAATTTTGTCAACTAATAAATAGTATTTGGGAATAAAGTCAAAATTTAATGTTAAGAGTGGGTGTGGCGGAGTGGTTGTCGAGCTTGACCAAAAATCATGTGGGTTTTGCCCGCGCAGGTTTGAACCCTGCTGCTCACATATCTTTGCCGTCACCCAATTGGTAGTATTTAATATCAATTTTCAAGTGATTTTTTTTATACCACAATTTTGTCAACTAATAATTAGTATTTGGGAAAAAATTCAAAATTTAATGGCATGAGTTGGCATGCCGGAGTGTTTATCGGGCATGACTAGAAATCATGAGGGCTTTGCCCGCACAAGTTCGAATCATGCTGCTCACGTTTCATTGTTGTCACGCAATAGGTTGTATTTAAGAGAAAAATTTAGTGTCAAATTTCAATTGATTTGTTTTATTTAGTTCTTCTACCCCAATTTTGTCAACTAATAAATAGTATTTGGGAAAAAAGTCAAAATTTAATGTTAAGAGTGGGCGTGCGGGAGTGGTTATCGGGCATGACTAGAAATCATGTGGGCTTTGCCCGTGTAGGTTTGAATCCTGCCGCTCATGTTTCTTTGCTGTCACCAAATAGGTAGTATTTTAGAGAAGAATTTAATATCAAATTTCAAGTGATTTGTTTGATTTAGTTCTTCTTCCACAATTTTGTAAACAAATAAATAGTATTTGGGAAAAAAATCAAAATTTAATGTTAAAGTGGGCGTGCCGGAGTGGTTATCGGGCATGACTAGAAATCATGTGGGCTTTACCCGCGCAGGGAAGAATTTAATATCAAAAATCAAGTGATTTGTTTGATTTAGTTCTTCTACCCCAATTTTGTCAACTAATAAATAGTATTTGGGAATAAAGTCAAAATTTAATGTTAAGAGTGGGTGTGGCAGAGTGGTTGTCGAGCATGACCAGAAATCATGTGGGCTTTGCCTGTGTTGGTTCGAATCTTGCCGCTCATGTTTCTTTGTTGTCACCCAATAGGTAGCATTTAATAGAAGAATTTAGTATATCAAATTTCAAGTGATTTGTTTGATTTAGTTCTTCTACCCCAATTTTGTCAACTAACAAATAGTATTTGGGAAAAAAGTCAAAATTTAATGTCAAGAGTGGGCATGCCGGAGAGTTTATCGGGCATAACTAGAAATCATGTGGGCTTTGCCCGCACAGATTCGAATCATGCTGCTCACGTTTCTTTGCTATCACCCAATAGGTTGTATTTAAGGGAAGAATTTAGTGTCAAATTTCAATTGATTTGTTTTATTTAGTTCTTCTACCCCAATTTTGTAAACTAATAAATAGTATTTGGGAAAAAAGTTAAAATTTAATGTTAAGAGTGGCCGTGCCGGAGTGGTTAACGGGCATGACTAGAAATCATGTGGGCTTTGCCCGTGTAGGTTTGAATCCTGCCGCTCACGTTTCTTTGCTGTCACCAAATAGGTAGTATTTTAGAGAAGAATTTAATATCAAATTTCAAGTGATTTGTTTAATTTAGTTCTTCTATCCCAATTTTGTAAATAAATAAATATTATTTGGGAAAAAAGTCAAAATTTAATGTTAAGAGTGGGCGTCCCGGAGTGGTTATCGGGCATGACTAGAAATCATGTGGGCTTTGCCCGCGCAGGTTTGAATCCTGCCGCTCACGTTTCTTTGCTATCATCAAATAGGTTGTATTTAAGAGAAGAATTTAATGTCAAATTTTAATTGATTTGTTTGGTTTAGTTCTTCTACACCAATTTTGTCAACTAATAAATAGTATTTGGGAATAAAGTCAAAATTTAATGTTAAGAGAGGGCGTGCCGGACTGGTTATCGGGCATGACTAGAAATCATGTGGTCTTTGCCCGCACAGGTTCGAATCATACAACTCACGTTTCTTTGCTATCACCCAATAGGTTGTATTTAAGGGATGAATTTAATTTCAAATTTCAATTGATTTGTTTGATTTAGTTCTTCTACCCCAATTTTGTAAACTAATTAATATAATTTCAGAAAAAAGTCAAAATTTAATACCAAGAGTGGGCGTGCCGGAGTGGTTATCGGGCATGACTAGAAATCATGTGGGCTTTGCCCACGTAGGTTCAAATCCTGATGCTCACGATTCTTTGTTGTCACAAAATTGGTTGTATTTAAGAGAAGAATTAATTATCAAATTTCAAGTGATTTGTTTGATTTAGTTCTTCTACCCCAATTTTGTCAACTAATAAATAGTATTTGGGAATAAAGTCAAAATTTAATGTTATGAGAGGGCGTGCCGGAGTGGTTATCGGGCATGACTAGAAATCATGTGGGCTTTGCCCGTGCAGGTTCGAATCCTGCCGCTCACGTTTCTTTGCTGTCACCAAAAAGATATGGAAACTTATGCAAGCCGAAAAAAATTCGGAGGACTCTTCTGACAAAATCAAAACAAAAATATGTAATTGTCAGCAAAGTTGTTTCTTTTTTTTTTTCAAAAAATATTCTGACTAAGACACAGGTCGTCAATTAAGCATTGGATAAAAAGGTGAAAATGCCCGTTTTTACAATAAATAGTTCAAATTATTTTATCAATATGCCGCTCACGTTTCTTTGCTGTCACCAAATAGGTTGTATTTAAGAGAAGAATTTAATATCAAATTTCAAGTGATTTGTTTGATTTAGTTCTTCTACCCCAATTTTGTCAACTAATAAATAATATTTGGGAATAAAGTCAAAATTTAATGTTAAGTGAGGGCGTGTCGGAGTGGTTATCGGGCATGACTAGAAATCATGTGGGCTTTGCCCGTGAAGGTTCGAATCATGTCGCTCATGTTTCTTTGCTGTCACCAAATAGGTTGTATTTAAGAGAAGAATTTAATATTAAATTTCAAGTGATTTGTTTGATTTAGTTCTTCTACCCCAATTTTGTCAACTAATAAATAGTATTTGGGAATAAAGTCAAAATTTAATGTTAAGAGAGGGCGTGTCGGAGTGGTTATCGGGCATGATTAGAAATCATGTGGGCTTTGGCCGCGTAGGTTCGAATCCTGTCGCTCACGTTTCTTTGCTGTCACCAAATAGGTTGTATTTAAGAGAAGAATTTGATATCAAATTTCAAGTGATTTGTTTGATTTAGTTCTTCTACCCCAATTTTGTCAACTAATAAATAGTATTTGGGAATAAAGTCAAAATTTAATGTTAAGAGAGGGCGTGTCGGAGTGGTTTTCGGGCATGACTAGAAATCATGTGGGCTTTGCCCGTGCAGGTTCAAATCTTGTCGCTCACGTTTCTTTGCTGTCACCAAATAGGTAGTAGTTTAGAGAAGAATTTAATATCAAATTTCAAGTGATTTGTTTGATTTAGTTCTTCTACCCCAATTTTGTAAACAAATAAATAGTATTTGGGAAAAAAGTCAAAATTTAATGTTAAGAGTGGGCGTGCAGGAGTGGTTATTAGGCATGACTAGAAATCATGTGGGTTTTACCCCCAGAAGTTCGAATCCTGCCGCTCATGTTTCTTTGATGTCACCAAATAGGTTGTATTTAAGAGAAGAATTTAATATCAAATTTCAAG